ATCGTCCAATTGATCAATGGTGACCAACACATAATCGCCACAGATTCATGGACAACGAAGAAAACCACTCCCGTCACATTGATCGTGTCTGCAATTTTGGCGTCTTGTATGTGTCATGTATTATGTATTAGTGTGTACTGTGGTACTTCTTAACAAACGTTTCTCATCTATAATTATGATATTATTTAATTCTGTTTGTTGTAACCATACTACAAATTATAGAACAATTTAAGCACACCTAGGTTGATATCATCACAACTTTTTATACTAGGTATATTTTCCCCGCGATATAGATTGCTGATCTATTGATATCAGTATAAACATAAAGTCACATATACTATAAGAATTGACATTTCCATAGCATGACGGATTCACCATAGAAATATGAACGAATAGGGTGGTCCTAAACTTCTTTTGAGTAGTATATATCCCTCATAGCAGTGTTTAGTAATAGTCTTGCCGTGACGCACCGACACATACCAACCTTTGGGCCTGTAAATTGTACCAGCTAATGGACGCTTTAACAATAATGCTAACCCACAGCTCCTTACATTAAGGCACCCGTGAAGATCCGGGGTAGAATAGGTCTTCAGCAACCCATGCCTGCCGTAAAAGACGACTATGCATGTCGTAAGAGGCGACTAACGGGATCGGTGGCTCGCCGACTTGGTTGATGCATGTCATCGTATCCCAATTGCGTTGACCGATGCTCATGATATCAATCACTGGATTGTCTAGTCCAGACTCGATTATTTACAGACCGCCGTCATATAGCTTGATTATTGCTGAGTGCGACGTTAAACAACAAACAAACCAACCTTACATTAATGCAAATATTGCAGTCATGTCGACCTTTTGTGTTATGTGAATGTCATCCTTGTACACGTGCTATCATTGTATAATGTTTGTTTTGTTTGTTTGTTGTATAACGCCACAGTCAGCAATATTCCAGCTACATGACGGCGGTCTGTGAATAATCAAGTCTGAACTAGACAATCCAGTGATTCACATCATGAGCAACGGCCCCCGCGATTGGGATACGATGACATGCATCAACCAAGTCAGCGAGCCTGACCAACCGATCCCGATTGTTGCCTAGGCCTCTTACGACAAGCATAGTCGCCTTTTACGACAAGCATGGGTTGCTGTATAATGTGACAGTAATCCTCGTCTACATGCTCTTAACGTAGTATGTGAATATAATCCTCGTATACAAGCTCTCAATATATTATGTGAATGTAATCCTGGTACACATGCTCTCAATATATTATGTGAATGTAATCCTGGTATACATGCTCTCAATAAATTATGTGAATGTAATCCTCGTATACATGCTCTCACTATATTATGTGAATGTAATCCTCGTATACATGCTCTCACTATATTATGTGAATGTAATCCTCGTCTACATGCTCTCAATATATTATGTGAATGTAATCCTCGTCTACATGCTCTCAATGTATTATGTGAATGTAATCATGGTATACATGCTCTCAATGTATTATGTGGCTGCATCCTCGTCAACATGCTCTCAATGTATGATGTGACTGTAATCCTGGTATACATGCTCTCAATATATTATATGAATGTAATCCTCGTACACATGCTATCTTGGAGACAAGGGGTAGGTTTAGTGAGTTAGTGAGATTTGTTTAAACGCGCTTTGACCATGACAGACCATGGAGTTGCCTCATTTGCGTATCACTCCAGCCAGTTAACGGTGTAAGAAGCTACATCGAAACGTCGCTATGTGCAATAAACAAAAAGTTGTTATACATAAAGTTGCATTCTTGTTTAAGTTTTTATTTGGTCTGTTGACCCTAAAAATCAACTGAAAAAAAATCCTGTTGAAGACTTTTGTATTGACCGCCGATCCCGAAACAAACACTTACAGAATACAATCACAAATTATTGCTCTGTCAGACTCATGTAAGTGACGCACAATATTTGCAAAAACAAATGTCTGGTTTACGTGCACTCAGCAATATTCAAGGACCAGACCAGACCAGTTATTGACATCATGCGCATCGATCTACGCAATTGAGACATCGTTCGATATATGACAAGAATGGCTTCCTAGCGACCAATTCTAACCGGGTCTTGACGGGGAACATTTGCTGAGAGTACGACATGAAGCCATGGTGGATACAGTTTATGTAACCTTGCCAATACTACTATTAGTGTGGGACTTTGTTTCCATGGAAACCTATAATATACAAAAATCACAATACTGTCACCAAAGAGACAAATGAAATTGTATTATAGAGAAATTGTATCCCTTTCTCCTACCCTTTCTTTGCAGACCAATAGGATTGAAGAGTCCAAAATTGATTTTATTTCGACCAACGCGTCAAAGTTGAGAACAATAGTCGTAAATCAACTAATTTGAATTGAAACAGGCCTAAGATAATACTTTAGCACCATATCCTCTTGAGTATTATCTGGGAGTGATGAACGTAATAGCATGTAATGATTTGATACAAATAGACAGATAAAAGATAATACACTTTGTCATTTTTCACAAGCGATTCTGTTGTACAGTGGTCATCAAATCGCCGCCTTTTCAAAACTGGAATATTGCTGAATGCGGCTTTAAACAACACACACAAACACGCATAGGTACGCATCAAGCACACACACGCACGAACACGCATAATCATTTTTCATGTAAGTCTTTGTCGTTATGTGGATAGCAATCGGTGTTTGTAGTTTGAGAAAGTTTCAACATTTTAGGTGGTGAGGTGAAATGGGGTTTAACGTCGCGTCCAAGATTATTGCACTTATATAGCGACGTGCATGCACGTGTGTGTTTGTGGCTGCTTGTACTAGACCGGACTGATGCCGATTTATAGTGCTAGCTCACTGAGATACCATGCCGCAGTTTAACATGAATACCCCACTCAGACACAGTATACTGACTTCGAGCCGACCAGTCCTTGTTTTAGCCCCTTAATGCCGAGCGCCAGACAGGGTAACAACAAGTACCATCTTTTAACGTCTTTTGGTATGACGCGGCCGGGGATCGAACTCCGGACCTTCCGCTCTCCGAGCGGACGCTCTACCACTAGACCACGGAGGCGGTCTTCAACATTTTAAATTAGTAGTGATACGTAAAATTATTTCGCTGTTTAGACGGATCCGTTATCTGGATCTTCAGGTTCCCTGGCAGATATTCCTAACGCGTTCCCGCTTTCAGTTGGGTCTCGTGTGGGCACATAGTCCGAGTTTTTTTAAAATGTTCAATATCTCTTTCAAAAATAGAGAGTGAGCAAGTGGAAGTGTACCCCCGATTTAACAATATTCAAGTCACATCACAGCAAAGGGGAAATCTTAATATAATCCTGTAAAGTGTGCTTTTAACCAACTTGTTAGTCTTAGAGGTTAAATGTTTAAAAGTCGAATGATCTACATGTTTATGCATAGTAACAACGTTAGTAATGAGTGAGTGAGTGAGTGAGTTGGGTTTAACGCCGCTTTTAACAGTATTCAAGTTATATCACGGCGTGTCAGCTTAATGTGGGAGGAAAGCCCGAAGTGATGCAGGTCTCAGACGTTTACCTATTTGGTGAAACCCACGAGCACGGGTATGGTGCTGACAAACCTAGAAACATAATCGGGGCGAACCAGGATTCGAACCCACAATCATAGGTTTGTGACATGCCTAAGGGCCGCAACTCTGTACAGCGATTCGCGGCGCCTTAGACGACTGGGCCCCCCGTTAGTAATGAACTCTGTTAAGTTGCGTTGATACGTACACATTATGTCAACATGGAAACGCACTCAATCCATCTTCAACATTACATTAATATGAATCTGTTAACAAGCCATTTTATCCTCAGCATCATCACATCTCTGATCATCATTAATACATCCCGCACACAAATCACCGCTACCTTGTCAACTGCCATGTCGGGCATTGTACGTATGTAATTCCATCATCGTCACCATCATCAGCATCCCCATCAGCATCACTCCGACAACCTCATCCATCACCAACCCCGTCACATCGGCTCCACAGTCATCCCTGCGCCAGCATCAAACGCCGCCGCTCTCGATTCCGACTTCGAAATTGCAGTTACGCCACGTAAGCCGCCATGACAGTCATTAATCACGTGACTCGGTGTGTGACTGGTTCCGCCCTGAAGATCGTGTTGAAATATCCGGCAGATCTTGCTGGGGCACTTGCCTTCGTACCATGTGATGAAGAATCAAAGTCCACCCTCGGGGCACGTGCAAAGGGGAGTGGAGTCTCGGGCCTGTTACACAACCGGAGTGACAACGTGCTCGTCTCGGACAACGTGCTCATCTCGCGATACCCACAGCGCCATCTACAGGGTAAAGGGAGCTTATAGCGTTGCACCAAGGGTGGATTAAGTACACGGGGTGAAGATCTGGTGAACACTTTCAATTCTGCCGTCATATATACGGGAGATTTGAACCCGGATAGAGGTCGGATGGTTATTCTATCACGGATGGAATAGGGATGTGACGAAGTGGATTGATTTCATATATTTTCCTGAAACAATTTGTGTGTGATACGTGTTATTGACTTCGGTAGAGATGAAGTCAGACAAGCCGCTATGGGTCCAGCACATGGAGGGAACGGTGACCCGACCCGGCAGCGACTACTGGAAGACGACGGGGTCGACGGTAATATGTGTTTTATTCTTGTGGGTGTCTTGTACTTTTGTCCATCTGTAAGTTCACTACTGCGGGTAATGCCAGTTTCATTAGAATTTAGTTGGCCGTTTTTGGTTGCATTCGCAATAACGTACAAGTGAGTTGAGATTACATATCTGTAGTTTTAACAGAAACAATTATAACAATTTAAGAATCAAAGCGACCGTATCACTACGACTGTCGCAAGGCTATGCTAGTAATGGTAGTGGCAGTATGCTCACTGTTTGGAGATTTGTTGGGGAGAGGGTTTGGAGTAGAGTTGTTGGGGGGTTTGGGTAGAGTTTTTGGTGGGTTTGGAGTAGAGTTGATGGGGGGTTTGA